GTCACAGAGATGAATAGAGGAAAGATGGGCTCCGCTCATCTCTATGGTCTAGGAGGACCAGAGTGACGTCACCTCATTGGAAACAATGCCATTTTTTTAAGCGTTAGGTCAATGTTGCTTGTTTTTTTTTTTTTAAATCTATTGCTTTCCATTGTAGAGGAGAATTGTGGGGTCTTATAGACCCCAGATCTCTTCATAAAGAAGACCTGTTAAGCTGTATTGTTAACGCAAGTGATGTATACTGTACATTTCCTGCAATAGTAATTAAAGTGATCAAAACATTTTTTTAAAGGGACACTGTAAAAATAAAAAAATTTAATAAAACCAATGAAAACAAAATTTGCGCGCAGTGGTGAATGCATACTAATGTCACGCCCACATATGTAAAACTGTGTTTGGACCACACATGTGAGGTATTGCGGCAAACGTCAGCGCCAGAGCAATAATTATAGCACTAGACCTCCTCTGTAACTCAACACTGGTGACTTGTAGAAATTTTTGAAGCATCACTTATGGAGATTTATAAGTACTGTAGTTTGATGCCATTCCATGAGTGTGCGCAATTTTAAAGCATGACATGTTAGGTATCTATTTACTCGGCGTAATATCATCTTTCATATTTTACAAAATAATGGGTTTATATTGTGTTTTGTTTCTTTTTAATTCATTAAAGTGTATTTTTTCCCCAAAAAATTGCATTTGAAAAACCGATGCGCAAAAACTGCGTGACATAAATTATTGCAACAACCGCTATTTTATTCTCTAGGGCCTCTGCTAAATATATATATATAATGTTTGGGGGTTCTAAGTAATTTTCTAGCAAAAATGCAGATTTTTATTGTAAACAAAAAGAGTCAGAAAATGGCCTGGTCCTTAAGTGGTGGTAGGCAACTAGTTATCTATTTTATTTATTTTTTTTCTAGTTATCCATTGCCTGGGGGCATGTAAAAAAAAAACAAAAAAAAAAACACCCAAAAAATAGACCACAGTTGGGCTTTAAAACCAAAACAGACTCAAATGAGAAAAACAGAAAGCCAGTGAGGTGGTTTTATTTCTTAACTGTCATTATAAAAAATATACATACACATCTCAGTACTGCCGGATTATAAAAACATGGATTTCCACTGTATCATTGTTATGTAAGTTACAGCTGAAGGACTGTTCTGTCTTTCCATTTCTGACATTTTCCTCTAAATTGCAGTCACAGCAGTCAGCTGACATAATAGCTGTGTAAACAAATGCAGCAAAAGCAAATAATTCACTAACTGTGGGAAAAACTGTCCCTGCAAATGGGGGCTTGGGAATCAAAGAGCAGAATGTTTGGTTTGTGTGGGCTGACAGTGGGAAATGTAAGGACCAGAGCGATAGGAAATGACTGTCTTGCAGGCTGTTTTCCTTTATAATTCCCATAAAAATCCTCTCTAATGAAACCATTTGAAGGAAGGAAGACCAGAGATGATGATTAGAGGCCCAAATAAATTATTACTGCTTTTCTTATTTATTTTTTTATAAGATAACTTACTAACTACCTCCCAGGCAGCCTATATAGGGTGTAAAATAAGTGCAGTGCTTGGGTACTGTTGCACACATATGAGCCTATTGATAAAGAAATTAGCAGTTTTTCTCACGTTATTCTACATGGATTGAATTGGGATTGAATTGGGAAAATGTGTGAATCCCGGGTAGGACTTGTGTGGATTTTGTGTGAAACCATTTATCAATAGACCCTATAGCTGCTATTGCACAACTTCTGCAAACATGATTGTTAAAGCTGACCTCTAGGCATGGTTTTTGTTGAATATTAACATTGGTCTAAGCCAGGGTCCAGTCTCCAAACTTTCTAAAAAGGGCTAATTTACTGTCTTTCAGACTTTAGGGGGTCCAGGTTGTGGCCGCTGGGAGTAGAAAAGATCCAGATGTTAGTGGGAAAAAACAATGCTCCGTCTTTCGTGTCAGTGGGAGGAATTGCGCCTCATAGTTGGTGTCAGTGGAAGGAATTGTGCTCCTTTATTGTTGTCTTTGGGGCCCATTGTTGGTGTCATTGGCAGAAATCGTACCCCAGTCTATGGTGTCTTTGGAAGAATTGTGCTCCATCATTGGCATCATTGGGATAAATTGTGCCGCTTTATTGGTGTCAGTGGGGGGAATTATTCCCCATTGTTGTGCCTCAAAGGCCAGATAAAAGCAAGCAAAGGGCCACAGTTTGGAGACCACTGGTCTAAGATAAACGTACATAAGCATGTATACACCTGTTGAAGCAGAGACTCGCTGTAGTAGTTGGCATTACAACAGTGATTGCTGCCAGTTTCCAGTTCTTGTGCTGAGTGACTTCCCTTCTGCATACTGACCACAGGGGGCATGATTTACTTGGCATAGCTGCCATTCTCAGAACGCTTGCAATTTTTTCAATAAACACAAGTCATTCTACGATTGAATGAGGTGGAGAGCAGGAGCAGTGATGTCAGGATCTCTGTCTCATCCAGTCAGAGAATTCCTTGTATTTATTGAAAAAAACAAGGTGTTTTGTAAATGGCAGTAAATGAGTGACCCCTTCTGTTCACTATGCAAAAGGGAAGGTGCCAGCCACAGGACCCAGAAGACTGTGGCTTGATCACTGTAGCAGTGCCAACTACTACAGTGATTCTTCACTTCCACAGGTATGGAATATGAATACTTATTATGCAATAAAAACGATACTACGAAGTCCGCTTTAAAATTCCTTTTATTTTCTGTTCATGAAACACCACCTAAATAAATAAAATTAATAAAAACAAATAAACAACAAATGTCTGGTCAGAGTCAGTGGTGCATGTCGGTGACATAATGTTCAGAAACTTGGTGAACATGCTTCATGCCAGTAAAACTCCATTCACACTCATGCGACTTGTCATGTAACTTTGGGGTCCAAACTCACATGACAAGTCGCCCTCCATGTTTCCCAATGGTTACCATTCATATATGTGCAACCGCAAGTTGCAGAGACTTCAAAGTATTTTCTGCACTACTTTGGTCCGACTTTCATGCAACTTGAGGGCCATAGACTTCAATGTAAACCCTCCAAAGTTGCAAGAAAGTCGCACCTGAATGTTGTGTGCTCACATAGAAGAGAAAAATGTCACCAGCACACCATGGATCTCCAATGTGGGTCCAAAGCTTTAGTCAGTGATCACATTGTTACAGCAAGAGCAATGTTTCAGAGCCTCTTAGGCAGGTCCAGTGCTTCCACTAGGCAAACTAGGTGGCCGCCTAGGGTGCACTGCTACCTAGGGGCACCTTGGTGCAGCTCAGGTCAGCACTGTCTCCGTGTGGGACACTGCCATGTTTATAAAAAGATCCTTCAGCTGAGTGGAGTGGCGACAGAGGGGAGGAAGAAAGGACAGAGGAAGATGCCGGGTGTCTGAGGCCAGTGTAGCAGCTGAGCTGCCACTCCTTTCCAGTGTTACTCTCAGACTCAGTCCCTTACTGCAGCTGGCTGGTAGGTGCTGATCACTTTGGAGTTCCAGCCCTTCTCTTCCCATTCATCAGTGGAGGCGGAGCTGCGGCTGTGGAGAAAGGTAATGTCTGACTCTGATGTCTTGTGTCTGTGTGAGTGTGACCCAGCCGGCCAGCCATCCATCACATGTGCAATGTGTCAGTGAGTGATGACATCATCACGATCCCACAGACTGCTCTTCCAGTGCCTGCTGGGCCTGCTGATCTGTGTCAGTGTTGGTGTGTTGTGTCGGATCTGTCACTGTGTGGGATCGCTTAGTTCAGCTGCTTGCAGTCACAGCGTTTATCTCCCCCCATTGCCTGGGGAATTCCAGCCTGGGATCTGTCAGAGTGTGGATCCATCATCCTCCACTCACTGCAACTGTCACCCTGCCACTGCCAGACACACATACAGTCCACCCGTGACAATGATTTTGTCTTTAATATTGGTGCTGATGGCATCTTATGGCGCTTATTTTTGCAAAAAAAAAAAATTAGCAGTTTCATGTTTTGCTGATTTAATATTTTATTTTCTACTGTTTATTTTTTTTTCTTGGGGGGGGGGGGGGGGGGGCACAAGTAGCTAGTCTTGCCTAGGGCTCTCAGGACCCCTTCATCAAACTTTTTATAGAACCAACCACCAATCAGTGAGCAGAATATGAGCCAAGCCCCACACCTTAACATCATAATGTCACATTCCCACCATATACGTGAACTTTTGAAAAATGACATCACAGTCAAACGCCTTCATCTGTGTAATAAATAAACAGCAATCAAATGAGTACGATATGCATCGCAGGGGGAGTATACAATACGGTCACACATTAACTATGAAACTTCCTCAAGGTATGCTAAGGGGAGAGTGCACACCGGCTCCGCAGAATGTAAACAAAGGGGCAAGCAGGTCCCCAGAATGTGATGTGTATATGTTGCTAGGAGACAGAGGAGGTGTATTGTCCCCTTCCACTGGTGTGTCCTACTGTGTGCAGTGCACTGGGACCTGAAAATCTTTGGCAAGCCGGTTGATGGTGTCATGACAACACATGTCGCTGGCAACAGGTAGACGTGGCCCGCTGCACTCATGAGCCCTGGGACCTAAAAAGTCAATAAGGTGACTGCCAGTGTCGTGTGTTCCCACGACACCAGCAGCCGGCTTGTTGGCTTTGGTTGTCAGCATGACACTGAGAGCCTGAGCCAGCAGCTCCTACTCCCCTCTTCAGCCAGCTCCAATGCCCCAGTGAGCACTGGAGGGGCAGAGTGGAGAACAGTGACTGACAGTCACCTCTCTCTGCTCAGGCTGGAAGAGAACTGAGCGTTCAGCGATCATGTGGTCACTCAGTTCTTAGAGCCAACAGGGGACAGCTGCAGCATCATCACAGCAATGTTGCAGCAGTGAGGTGAGCATGTGTGTTTCTTTTTTTTATAACCTCAAACTTCTCCTTTAACTGTTTTGTTCATTACACTCTAGACCACACACTGAAGATGCATGGGTGTTTGCAAAGTGGAATGCGGTACAAGCAGTTGGTGTCATGTCTTTTGGTAAGAATCTCTCTTTATAAGTTAACTCCACCCAAACTTTGTGTGTGTTTTCATAGTAGCAAATTAAATAATGATCTACCCTTATATCTCTAATCCCTGGTTCGACTTGTCTTGTGATTTGAAAGTTCCAAATCGTATGACAAGTTGCACCCTGTTGTCATCAATGGAGCCGTTCAAATTAGAGTGACTCTGACTTTGCTGGAGTTGCACCAATGTTGAAAGTAGTTCCTGAACTATTTTCTGCAATTTCAGGAGCGACTTGCTTAGACATCTGTACATAAAGTTAGGCAAAATGTTAGGCAAGTCACACCTGAAATCGCATTGGTCTGTGGCTTTGAAATCGTGCTACTTCAAGTGAAGTAGCACAATTTCAATGTCACATTCAGTGTGAACCAGGGCTTACAGGCTCCAATGACAATATCCCTTACAAGAATTCTATCCAAATGCCATGACCATTACCAAGCCAAATGATAGTATAAAGGCCTTAAAAATGATTAATACTATAGAAGAGTTTGTTTATACTCGTAAATCTTCAACCCTTTATAAAACCACCAGTTACTGTGTACTGTCCTGGTGTGGGTCATCTCTTGTGAATTTACTGCAGCAAGTACAAGTTTATCCCTAACCCATATGATTAACCCCTATGTATTCTAGAACCTTTAGTTTACCCTAATGACCCCTAATAAACCCTTCCTTTCCCTTCTCCTCCTAAACATTGAGATGCATTAAAAACCACACACAATTGGCAAAAAAAGGCCTTTATTCCATATATAAATAATGTTACAATGCTTTTTTACTAGAATCATAACTTATTTTCTAGGACAAATTATAGGAAAATAACATTTTGACTTTTTGTTTACAGCAGCAATATTTTTTAACACTAATCAAAGTAGAAATAAAGTGCATGTTTTTACATTTTGCTACTTTTTTTTTTTCTATGGATTGCAAAAAATAAAATCAATTTAGCAAAAAGACATTACAATAAAAGTCCTTGTTTATCCTATAAAATAATATATGTATTACATTGTAATGTAATAACAAAGCTTTTGCCAAATATACTGTACAGGATCATAGCAGAAATGTAAAACTTGTTGTCCCATGTACAGGTGAGAATGAAATGATAGATAGATAGATAGATAGATAGATAGATAGATAGATAGATAGATAGATAGATAGGTAGATAGATAGACACACTGGAGTTGATTTACTAAATGCAAATAGACTGTTCGCTTTGCAAAGTGCAGTTGCTCCAGAGTTTAGAAACTCAGCAGAAGCTCTACTGACTTCCATCATCTATTCATATGCAAGCAAAAATGCTTTGTTTTTATTTTCCTTGCATGTGATTGTCTATTTTTTGCAAAGTGAAGCTTTACCTCATTTACTAAGCTCTTGAGCAGCTGCATTTGCAAAGTGCACAGTCTATTTGCCTTTAGTAAATCAACCCCATTGATTGTATGTCAGTAGCCTGCATGTAGCTCATGGTAGAAGGACAATAACAGTAGCATATGCAGGTTTATTATAACCAGTTTATGCCACTGATAATGTCACACTAACACTGTAGTCTGCCATCTTGCTTAACAGTCTTGGGACTGGCCCGCGACATGTGCAACACCTATCAATAATAGGACACACTTGCCACTTACTACTGCGTGTAGTACCACCATGCTAGCATAACTTTTTATACATGTAAAATAAAAGTCCTGGTTTGACTTGAACATAAAAATGTGTGTGTATGTATAAATCATTGTTTTTTGGAGATTAAAATTTGTATTTGTATCATGTAATAAATGATAGATTGGGGAGTAGAGTAAAAGGTGGCCTCCAAACTCTATGTAGGGCCAGTTCATACCATAAAAGGTGCATCCGAGCTTATGCACTTATGCACATTTCTGCGAGGCGCATATTCGGCAGCCCTTTAATTTCAATAGGCTGCCAAACATATAGGAATGCACAAAAAGTACAACAGGTGCCACTTTTAAAATCGTGCCACAACAAACCTCATGTTGCTACGGTACAATGAGGTTTGGTGGCTGCGAACGCAAAATGCAGAGGAGTGTCATTAAGAATTAATGCCACCTAGGTGTATTTGCAGGAGGCAGTGTGTTCTTATGGAGCAGGAAGCACATTTTCCACACTGCAAGTGGTGTGAACCAGCCCTTAATATTAAATGTTTTTATCTTCACCTATCAAATTGTACTTTCTCAATATACATGTTTCTCTTTATTTCAGTGTTTATGTGCCACCATGCCTGTTTTCTTATTTATGGATCTTTAGAAAAAGCAACAGTGAGCAGCTGGTCCCGTATTACACATGTATCAATGATAATGTCACTGATAATCAGCGTTCAGTATTCAGTCTTTGGATATATATCTTTCACAGGACTCACACAAGGTAATGTACAAATATTATTAGTTTACTAGATGACATTTCTTCTTCATATTGGTAGTAAAATAAATATATATATATATATATATATATATATATATATATATATACAGTGTATATATATATAAAAATCAGTGAGTGTGATTTTACCTAAACCCTCACTGGTAGTGAATCATTGTATGTGTAAAACACACATGCTAGTAAGATTCCTTTGCAGGGAATGTTTGGTGAATGTCAGACTCTCTGTTTTATAGATACGCCTATTATAAAGGTCCATTTTATAGTTGATATCTTTATTTTGTGGGAAGGATCCGCAGAAATGTTTAAAGCCCCTTCCACACTGCAGCACGGATGTAGCGCAATGTACCCATAGTTTTCGTCCAGTTACCTGCGCTTTCCCATAGTCTGTTAGATCTGGCATTTTTGGTGCATTTTCTGAACACACACCAAAGATGCAGCATGCAGGGCTTTTGGAGCTCTTTCTGAAAATGCACCAATAAAACCCAATCTAATAGAAGTCCATGGGAAAGTGCAGGTAACCTGCACAAAAACCATGGTTATACTGTGCTACACCCACAGCATTATATTCTGCACTGAACTGTACTTGAATTCGGCAAAATTTATCAAAAACACACATGTCTCTAAGTAAGTTGAACTAAAAAAGAGGGGAAAAACCCATCCATAAGAGGGTTAAAATAACCACTTGCTTACCACCCATAGCAGTTTTACTGCTACAGAGTGGCTGCTCTGCACAAAATCACAAATATATACATTATTTTGCATTTCTGGGTAGGGGGCGTGTGCAAGGTGTCCCTGCCAGCATTCGTGACGAGGACTTGGTGATCGGCAGAACAGCTGACAGGAGAGACATCTGTGAGTGTAAACAACACAGATCTGTCTCCTGTCAGCGAGGACGTGCTGGCTTTTATCTCTGTAAAGCAGGGAGATAAAAGCCAGCACGTCCCCTAGTAAAACAGTACACAGTATACAGTGTAATCACTCCCTAACACACAGTTAACCCTTTGATCACCTCAGATGTTAGCCCCTTCCTGCCCAGTGTCATTATTACAGTGTCAGTGCTTTTTTTTAGCACTGGTCACCGTATAGTGTCACTGGAGATGTCAGTGGCAGTTAGTCAGTTCCCACCCAGTGCCAGTTAGTATCAGAATGTCCACCGTAATATCGCAGTCCTGCTATAAGTTGCAGATCACGGCCATTACTAATATAAAAAAAATAAATAAAAATTCCAGTATACAGTATATACTGACATTTGTAGATGCTCTAAGCTTCACACAAACCAATTAATACACACTTATTGGGGTTTTTTTTAACCAAAGACTTGCAGCAGAATACATTTTGACTTGAATGTATGAAGAAATTCTTTTTTTTATATTGGATATGTTTTATATCAAAAAGTAAACAATATTGTTTTTTTTTTTTTTTTATTTCCCAGACTTTTTTCATTTATAGCTCAAAAAATAAAAAAAGAAAGAGTGATGATCAAATACCACCAAAAGAAAGCTGTACTTGTGTGAATATACATTTCATTTGTGTACAGTGTTGCATGACCGCACAATTGTATGTTAAAGTAGCGCAGCGCCATATAGCAAAAAATGGCCTAATCATGAAGGGGGGTAAATTGTCTGGAGGGCAAGTGGATAATCTTCAACGTCAAGAAATATCTCTCAAAACTGTCCAATGGGTATACAGGGCCAAAAAAATAAATAAATACCAATGAAAAATTAGACAGAAGAGGGCAGAAATTGTAGGCTCCGGATTTATTTTAGTACAGGTTTCTATTAGGTTGGATAGGATGGGAAAGAATGGAGAGCCCACATAGTATATAGCCCCACCTATTGCTTGTTCTCTATCAATTCTCCATTGTGCAGTGTTCACCAATCAGGCATGTACTGTATAACAGGTGCATTTTCAGGAGCTAAAGCTTGAAAGGAAAATATTTTCCTAAAGCACAAATTTCTCTATACAACAGGGAAAGGTTGATTAGTAAGTTACTATAACTAAGTTCTAAATAACAGCAAGCCTTGTGTGAATGTGCGGGTAGCTATGGTGACATTCAGATTAAACACTGCTCATTATTTACATAGACAAGGTCATACTGTTTGTTTGCTGACTGTCTTTGTGTCCCATGCAAATATCCCAGGATACACGTAACTATTTTAAATATTTATCAATATACACACATATATATATTTATATATCTATATATATATATATATAATTTTTTTTTTTAATATGTAGTAGGGAAGTTTCTTGTCTTATACTTACTTACATATAACACATGTAACTTTCCTTTTTTAAATCCTCTTCATGTCAGTATGCTGAGGGTCAATACCGCACTTTTGACCCCATTAGAACACCCCTAACTGGCCCTTTAAAATCTTGTCTTTACCCTCTGTCAGTGTTCTCATCAGTTGCCTTGCAACAGGAACCAGGGTGGAAATCCTAGGCTGAAATGAAGAGGATCCACAAAACAAAAATGACGATAAGTACAACACCTTTCCCTGCTCCCGGACCTCCTAATGTCAGCCTACTGTGTGATGTAACAAACAACCCCCCCTAGGGAGGAAAACATGACAGAAAGAAGGACTCTAGAGACCAAAAAAAAACGGCTGCATGTAAAATAATGTATTTATATATAAGAAATGAGAAGAGCCCATACAAACAGCAAAAGCTGTAGTTTTGCATAATTGGAATTACAGTAAGTGAATTCCAACTAGCCACCTTGCAGACCACATCCACTAAAACCTCCACGTAAGTAGTCCAAGATGTTGCCACTCGAATGAATTTTGTCCCCTTTGGAGAAGCCAAACCCAAGGACTAATACGAATAAACAAAGAGCCCACCTTCCAAAAGTCTCATGTCCTATCCCAATAGCCTGTTAAGGACTTCAGATCCTGCTTATCCTATTCATGTTTCAGATTTCCCTAGCTTAAAAGCTGTTAAAAGAGATTCTCAATTCAGATGAAGGTAAGTGGGAACATTTAGCAGGAATGAAGAAACAGGCTTGAGGACTAGGTTGGATGAACAGTTCCAAAATTCGGATGCATGCCTGGCAATAGCAACAAGGAACTTAAGAAACAAGGAACATGATTCAACAGTATCAAAAGGAAAATATAGCAAGACCCACAGAACTAAAGAGAGATCCCAATCCAAAAAAAAAAGTTCTCAATAGAGGACAAATCTTCATCACAACCTTCAAAAAAACAACCATCCATGGGATTAGAAGACCATTGTTTCCCCATCAGGGCAGAAAAAAGTGGAAACCTGAACTTTAATAGCTTTATAGTCAAGATGTATGTCCAGACCACTGTGCAAAAACTCCAGGATCTGAGAAACTGAAGGAAAAAAAGGTATCCAGTTCCTGTCTCTAGGAAATTAAAGATAAGGTCTCCAAACTCTGATAGGTGGAATTTGTTGTGGATTTTTTTGATTTTAATAGTCTCTATGACCTTTTCAGAAATGCTTAGTTGCTGCAGCTGTCCCCTTTTAACCGCCATACCATCAATTTAAACCACTGGATGTTTGGATGGTGATAAGACTTCTGACAACAGACTGGGTGGCTCCAACTTCATTTGCCATAGCAATAAGAACCACAGACGTCTGGGTTAAAAATGGGAAAATTGCAATGGACTTCACTCCTTCCTGCTGGATCTTGAGGACAACTCTTAAGAGCAGCAGAATTGGTGGAAAAATGTAGACCAAATAGAATCTCCACCTCCTCACCAAGGCATCCTGCCTCACTGGGGATCATGAAAATGAGGGATGTATAGAGGAAGATGCGTGTTGGCTGCTGAAGCCGATTGATCAACTCCATAATCTGCCAGGTCTACTGATGCAGTCCAGTCTCTCTTTTTCACCACAGATATGATAGCCTATTGAGATGTCATATGGGGAACTTCTGATGAAGAAGTTCTCAAACTTCAGGTCCAGAACCAGTCTTAATCTTCCTGAGGTCTATTTTAATACTAAAAATGGTAAGGAATACAGCCCTGAAGCTTTTTGTTTTACAAGAATCAGGATGCTGGTTTCCAAACCCTCCAAATCAGTTACATAAGCTTGCAAACATTGCTCTCTGTTTGTACATTGTTGTATACAGTATGTTCTCGTAGTTGGGAAACTCAGATAGTTGAGAGTTAGGGACCACATTTACCACTATAAGTCTTATTTTTTAAACCTGAGCAGAAGAAACAGAATAGGCATTTATTCATTTTGCTGACTAGCTTTAAATAATATATATTTATATATATATACATTATATTGCCAAAAGTATTGGGCCAGCACTCCAAATCATTGGATTTAGGTGTCAATAGCTAAAGACCTCCAAACTTTGTGTGACCTTCAGCTTAGCACAACAGCAGTGCATAGACAGCTTCATGGAATGGGTTTCCATGGCCGAGCAGCTGCATCCAAGCCTTACATCACCAAGTGCAATGCAAAGTGTCGGATGCAGTGGTGTAAAGCACGCTGCCACTGGACTCTAGAGCAGTGGGGTCATTTTTCTCTGGAATGACGAATTACGCTTCTCTGTCTGGCAATCCAATGGATGTGTCTGGGTTTGGTGGTTGCCAGGAGAACGGTACCTGCCTGACTGCATTGTGCCAAGTGTAAAGTTTGGTGGAGGAGGTATTATGGTGCAGAGTTTCTTTTCAGGGGTTGGGCTTGGCACCTTAGTTTCATTGAAGGGAACTCTTAAGGTGTCAGCATACCAAGACAGTTTGGAGAGTTCCATGCTCCTAAAATTGTAGGAACACATTGGGGATGACCCCTTCCTGTTCCAACATGACTGCACACCAGCTAAAAAAAAAAGCAAGGTCCATAAAGACATGGATGAGCAAGTTTGGGGTAGAGAAACTTGACTTGCCTGCACAGAGTCCTGACCTCAACCCGAAAGAACACCTTTGGGATGAATTAGAGCGTAAACTGCGAGCCAGGCCTTCTCGTTGGACACCAGTGCCTGACCTCACAAATGTGCTTCTGCAAGAATGGTCAAACATTCCCATAGACACACTCCTAAACCTTGTGGACGGCCTTCCCAGAAGAGTTGAAGCTGTTATAGTTGCAAAGGGTGGGCCAACTCAATGTTGAACCCTGTGGACTAAAACTGCGTTGCCAATAAAGTTCCTGTGTGTGTAAAGGCAGGCGTACCAATACTTTTGGCAATATACTGTATATACCTAAGTAATGTGTTTGGAAACAACTTGAAGTCACCATCAGAAGCCATGAGAGCAACAGAATTTTGTTACCCTATAAAAATACAATGCCAAGATCACTAAGTATTATTTTGATCAAAGCTGCAGATTTAAAATAATAAAAGTGCCTTTTTAAAATCACTTGAACATGTTAAAGTTTATACAAGATTTTAAGTTTAATAACATGGTATTTATTTGTTGACTTTAAAATGTTTTCAATTGATTTGGATCAATTAAACTTGCCACATGTATGTATTATTGTGGGCTTTTGCTGTAAAATGTATCTTAGAAGTTTTTCTTCTTTACTATTCATTTAAAGCCTAAATCTGACCCAATTTTTTTTAGATAGCGTAAAGAAGAGTTAAGATTCTGTTGGGTTTATTATTTCTGCCTGTGACTCCACTGGGGAGATTTTTCCTTATTTCTTGTCCCTGTGAACAATCACTGTGGGGAATTTATCAATTTTGTCTCATAGCAAGGGTATGCAGGAGAAATAAGGAGGCAGCTTTATCCATAAATTCTGCCCTCTGCTGCTCTAAGGTAGCACTGCACCAGAAATAACCTGCCCCTGACCACTTCTGCAACTGTTTTAATTGAAAATCTGTCTCGTCTTCAGTAGTAAACCTATTGCAGACGTGCGCAAATCTGTATCAGTTGACTTCCCAAGCTTATAGATACAAGGGTCACAAATATACATAAAAACTGTCACAGGCAGCCTGATTTGCATCTAAATGTGTCACTAGTTTGCTTGATAATTATTTCTTGCATTTAGAACATGGATAAAGTTAAAATTGCTTCCAATGATTTCTCCCTACTGCATTTGAAAGATGCCACCAAACTTCATCATTCTCATGTGGTGCATTGCTAGGAAACGTTTTAACCTGAAACAATAAAAAAGTCTGTATGGTCAAAACATTTTTTTTTTTATTGAAAGGGTTAAAACCCTACCAGTTTATTTTTTCCTGCTGTATAACATTGGGGAAATTTCCCCTCACTTCCTGCCCTAGAGACACAACTGGAAGTTAGAGGAAATCTTACACTTCTTATATGGGGGCAACTCTAAAATTTCACATAGAGCTATACAAACTTTACTAGAGTCTAATCCTTTTTCATTCTACTAAAAAAAAAAAAGTTTTGCCTAGAGAGAGCTTAATCTGCACACCCCATATCTGTAATCTAGTTTCCATACGTCAGTTAAATATTGTGCAAGATGAGGGCAAACACAGCCAAATATTTAACTTGTGTGTGTAAATTGGCCCTAATGAAATGTATCTACAGTATGTAACTTTTTAATATCAGATTTAATGGTATGATAGCATGAAAGCAAACTTTGTTTTGATATTTTTATTTTACCATTATAGGGGACCTGTTTGAGAATTACTGTAAGGATGACAACCTGGCCACCGTTGGAAGATTTTGCTATGCAATAACTATAATACTGACGTACCCTATGGAGTGTTTTGTGGCCAGAGAGGTAAGTTTGCAGATCTAAGACATAAACACGTACATGGCCGAATATACAAAACACATACATACAACATATTATTAATACACCAACTGGCTCTGATCATTAGATTCTAAATTAAAGGTTTCAGTTCACTTTAAGTAGTTTGTCTGGACCAAGCTGACCGAAACATACTTGGGTTTGTTTACTAAAGCTGGTTCACTTAGAATCTCGTGCATGGTAGCCAATCTGCTTCTAAGCTCAGCTTGTTGAGTTTGGCTTTAGCAATAAAACCTGTAAGCTGATGGTTTCTATGCAGAAGTGCACAAGATTGTGAGTGAACCAGCTTTAGTAAATCAACCCCACTATGTCCATTACTAACACATGCGACTGCTGTCAGCGCTGTGTAACGTGTATGTAGTATAAGCTACATACAAAATACAGCGCTGTGTTCTGCGGCAGCAGTACAGGGACTTCCCGTCCCATTCCCAGAACAAAGTTGAGTCAGGCTGAGCGCAGCTCAGCCAATCAGGGAAAGCCTTGTATTCATTCATAAACATACAAAACTTTCTGTGAATGACTGAACAGCACTGAGCGCAACTCAGTTTTTCTCTAGGAACAGAACAGGACATTCCTGTACTGCTGCCAGCACACAGCACTGTATACTGTATGTAGCTGATGCAACATACAATATATACAGCGCTGAAAGCGGTGCATGTATTAGTAATGGAATTCGTTTGTTTGGGTCAGCTTGGCTTAAACAAACTAATTAAAGTGAAATGAATCCGGGAGTTAGGCTTTAAAGCCATACAGGTCGTATTCATACCTGTCTGTTGGTGGGTTACCTGTAATGCAATACTTCACTTATTACACAGTAGATGGCGCTGCTGTTCCAGCTCTTCCCAGTGCTGCAGTGGGATGAAATATGAAAGGGACCATTCCTACAATAGGTATTTGTGTTCTCTGCAGGTGATTTCAAATGTCTTCTTTGGAGGAAATCTCTCCACTGTCCTTCATTTCACAGTGACCCTGTTGGTTGTGTCTCTAACCACTGTTATATCTTTACTCTCTGACTGCCTTGGAATGGTATTGGAGCTTAATGTAAGTAGCCTATTAATTAGAATTTATAATAGTAATGCTTTCAATTAGCATAGCCATTGACATGTGTATATTCAGATGCTGGGAGTGTAGCCATATGTAGTTCAAGTCTAGATTATGTTTAAAGTGCATGTTTGGGGAAAAAATCGTATGTTACAGTTTACACTGTCAGCGTTTTTGTTGTAATTTAACTATTTGTAACTTTCTGTGCCAGAGACATAATAGGAAGAATTCTCTCCAAAACCAATGAGAGATTCCCTCCAATAGTGGACCCACACAGTGGTGCTATAAAAAGATCACTCTAAACTGATCAACAGTATATATCGAACTAAAAATCAATCATGTTGGAAACATAATTCAACCGATGATCCATATACATGTGCCAGAGTTTCAATTCAATTCCGTATAGAAATCAATTGTACCAAGTTGATCTGAGGGAAACGCTGGTCTTGGCCATGCCGTTTTAGTCTTTGCTCAGTCGATGTCCAATTTGATTGTTTTATTAAGTCAGACATTGATCGTTCAGACACACACACCTTTTTAAATCTATGTATGTTTTTGTACTTTGTAGCTTTTTTTTTTTCATTTGTTAACTTTGTTTGTCTGAGTATAGATCTGTGTTTGTTCCAAGCATGTTAAATTAACCAGTTTGAGAACTGTATACATACATCTTAAAGAAGATCTAATACATTTAGAAAATATGTACTTTTTTATAGCAGTTGGTCATTTTCAAATCCTTCCACTTGTCTCCATGCAGCGTAATTGGACAGGTCCCCTCCTCCATGTGACAACGCCACTAGACAGGAGACAGATTTGTGATTGACAGCTCTGGTCTCTGGCAGCAGAGGTCTCTCTGGAGCCCAGCAGTGCTGTTTAAAAATGATCATATACCCTGCATCACTGTGGGGTCTATTTACTAAAACTGGAGAGTGCAATATCAGGCATACATCTGCATAGAAACCAATCAGCTTCTAACCTCAGCTTGTTCAATGAAGCTTTGGCAATAAAACCTGGAAGCTGATTGGTTTCTATGCAGAAGTTTTTTACTAGTATTGGTTAACAAGCAGCGCTGATTGTTCAATCATAAGAGTGACAAATCTCTCAGCTTAGAGAGGGGGCAAGGCTCTGTTCTGTCTATACCTTCCCCCCCTAGAACACCCATAACTTGGACTTAAAAAGGGGATAGAGCCACAGCCCACATATAGAAGTGTATTTAAGGGACAAAGGGACCATCTATTAGTGTAGCACTTTGTCCCCGGGGAGTTAAATAAATAAATACATAATTATGGCCCCTTTCACACCGGTGGACTGATCAGGACTGCTGTCTGTTTTTCAGGTGGGTCTGATCGGACCATCCATTGTCCTCCATGGAGAGATGGATGTAAACAGACATGTGTCCGTTTACATCTGTCTGCATCCGATCCGCTAAAAACACAAGGATGGGGGATCTGTTCCCTATCCATATAGTGGATCAGATAAGATGACAGTTGGATGTAAACAGACAGGCAGTCCTTTTACATCTGACCACCCATAGAGGAGAGCGGGCCTGCTCAGCAGACTTCAGTGGACAGGTCCCCACTGAGCAGGCGGATCCACTGGCAGAGTCTGCCCGTGTGAAAAGGGTCTTATTCTTTATGGGGAATGCTTACTTTCACTTTAAATAAAACTGCTTGCAGGCTTCAGATGGCTTTCAACAAGCTTCATGTAGTGTTGGAGCTTACTGAAACCTTCTAGCAATTTGTTTAAAGTAACAGACAGCACTGCAATTAAGATCTGTGTATAATATTCCCAAACTGGAGATGCTACCTTTAACTTCCCACATATTCCTATTGGGTAGTAAGGCAGCCCATCATAGTGATGGACCAATAGGAATGTATGGAGGCAGGAGGGACCATCTGGGCCTTTTTATGAGTGAAGACAAAATAAAGACACTAAAAACTTTTATTGGATTGTGACACACTGACTAAAGAGTGTTGAAAGATAGTTTCAAAAAAAGTAGGGAAAGGTTCAATCCAGTCCCAGGTCTTTACATACACTTTATTGCCAAAAGTATTGGGATGCCTGCCTTAACACACATGTACTTTACTGTCATTCCAGTGTCCGTAGGGTTCAACATTGAATTGGCCCACCCTATGCAGCTATAACAACATCATCAAATTTGGGAAGGCTGTCCACAAAGTTTAGGAATGTGTCTATGGGAATGTTTGACCATTCTTCCAGAAGCACATTTGTGAGGTCAGGCACTGATATTGGACGAGAAGGCCCAGCTTGCAGTGAGTCAGTTGCAGTCAGTTGTTCAGGCCAGTCATGTTCCTCTGCCCAAATCTTTCTCATCCATGTCTTTATGGACTTTGCTTTGTGCACTGGTGTGCAGTCATGTTGGAACAGGAAGGGTCCATCCCCAAACTGTTCCCACAAAGTTGGGAGCATGAAATTGTCCAAAATGTCTTGGAATGCTGACACCTTATGAGTTCCCTTTTCTGGAACTAAGGGGCCATCTCAACCCCTAAAAAACAACCCCACACTATAATCCCACTCCACCAAACTTTGCACTTGGCACAATGCAGTCAGGCAACCACCTGGCAACCACCAAACCCAGATACATCCATCAGATTGCCAGACAGAGAAGCATGATTCGTCACTCCAGAGAACACGCCTCACTGCTCTAGAGTCCAGTGGCTCCGTATTTTACACTACTGCATCTTTATTTATTTATTTCAGGTACTTATATAGCGCCGTCCATTTAAGCAGCGCTTTACACATATATATATTGTACATTCACATCAGTCCCTAACCCTCAAGGGGTGTACAATCTAAGGTCCTTAACTTACATTCATACATACACATACTAGGGCCAATTTAGACAGGATCCAATTAACCTACTGATGCTTTGCAAGGCCACATGAAGTTTGGAGGTCTTTAGCTATTGACTCTGCAGACAGTTGGGGGTTTATTTACTAAAGCTGGAGAGTCCAAAATCAGACTCCCTTCTGCATAGAAACCAATCAGCTTCTAACCTCAGCTTGTTCAATGAAGCTTTGGCAATGAAACCTGGAAGCTGATTGGTTTCTATGCAGAAGGGAGTCTGATTTTGGACTCTCCAGCTTTAGTAAATAAACCCCTTGGCGTCTTCTGTGCACTGTACACTTCAGCATGCATTGACCCCCACTCTGTCATTTTACGTGTCCTATCACTTCATGGCTGAGTTGCTGTTGTTCCCAGTTGCTTCCACTTTGTTATAATACCACTAACAGTTGACCGTGGAATATTTAGTAGCAAGGAAATTTCACGGATGGACTTATTGCACAGGTGGCAACCTATCACGGTACCATGCTTGAATTCACTGAGCTCCTGAGAACAATCCATTCTTTCACAAATGTTTGTAGAAGCAGTCTTGATTTTATACACCTGTGGCCATGGAGGTGATTGGAACACCTGAATCCAATGATTTGCAGGGATGTCCCAATACTTTTGGCAATATAGTGTATATCTATGGCCCCAACTAGGAGAGATATTCCACCACTGCTGATAAAATAACTAATTTAGTTCTCCAGCATCTACATGAATAAAGAGATATTAGCTTTGGCTGATCTGACCTTTACATATTTTTCCTAGGGAGTTCTCAGCGCGACACCTCTTGTCTTCATCATCCCAACTGCCTGCTATTTAAAGTTGTCTACGGATCACTGGTATCATCCCAGTAACTTTGTGCCTTGCCTAATCTTTCTACTCGGTATCCTAATAATGCCTGTAGGCTTTTATTATGGCCATCTTTTATCCACAAGAATGTAGTCATGGTAATGAGATATTCTACTGTCTCACAAATTCTACATCTGTCAGTACTCTATCATCCACCCCATACCCAAACAATGCATCTGCAATAAAGTTATGATCATCTGGTAACTAAGTGTTTATTTAATCACCATACAACATAGAATGGAGTCAAATCATCGATTACCACTACATATGTCCATATGGGAGTGGATTTCCAACAAAGGAGCATGCGAGCACACAACCTGTGGTGCCCAAAGCAACACCCCTGTAGTAGGATCACCCCGTTTTCTTGTATTACTGTCCCTAACCTGGTTTAGATTATTGTTTCAAGGATTATATAGCCTTACATTACATGATTGTATTTTTAGTAATAAGTAAAAACATGTGGCTATTAACTACACAGGGAAAAGCATACTGCACCTAATGGGAGATCAAGCCATGTGTGGAATGTAAATAACTTTAGACTCAACCCAACGGCCAGCACCACTGAAAATAAAAAAAAGTAGCTCCTGCTGCAACACTCACCTCCTCTCTCTAGCTGTCGTTTTGTAAAAACTGCAAAAAAAAAAAAAAATAAATTAGCTTCTTTTTATTCATGGTGACCATGGGAACAGTGAAGGTATTCGGTACATTTTTTGTGTTTTGAACTCCCTTAGCAATGTCATTTCTGCTCATGTGCATGGCCGAAGGATCGTTAGTAGCAGTATTTCAACACTGGGAATGATCATGTTATTATAGCAGGAAGACCGTCCCCACTTAGCTTTCAGGAATTAGTATTACGTATCAGATTAACAAAATCAGGATTAAAGTTTACAAAAATTCTTTCTGCATGCACGCTATCCCCACCAATGACTAAGCAGACATATCCTGGCATTCTCTGCATTTACGTGCACAGACAGCACAGAGGGACTAGACCTGGAGAGAACCTGCATTACACGCCCCTCCGCTGACTGTATACTATATCAGGCATGCACATTAGCAATGCGCACACAAGTGCTTATGGTAAATGTAGTCCTGCTGCCAGACATCAGCAAAAGGTCCCCGACCGGAAGTTAGGGGGAAGCACAGCACCACTAACACAGCGCAGGGGAAATTTCTGAGGTGTAATTAGCCATTTCTAAAGTAGTCATTGAAATTATTGAGGATGATACATGTCATTAAAGTGGTTGTAAACCCTTAGGCCCCTTTCAGACGAGGCGGACCCATCAGCGGTTCCGCCTGCTCAGCGGGGGATCTCTCCACTGATCCCCGCTAAGCATGCGGGTGACAGGTCTATGTCCGCTCCGCTGCTGCAGAGCAGACACAGACACTGCCCACTGTCTTCTATGGGGCGGTCAGATGGAAACGGATCGCCTGTCTGTTTCCATCCGACTGACATCCGATCCGATCCACCAGATGGATGGGGAACAGATCTCCATCCGTCTGTTTTTGATGTACAGGATCTGATCGTATTCTCAGACACTTGGCCACTGACACCTAAAGGTCTATGGATGGTCCGATCAGGTCCACCTGAAAAACTGACAGGAGGACCCGATCGGACTGTCAGTGTGAAAGGGGTCTTACAGATACCCAGTGAAGGGACTATCCTAAAATGATACAGAGACGAAACAAATCCTCCAACATAAGTTGTACCTGTCAATCTGCAGTATTTTCTTCTCTATATCCATTCAAAGTGCTGAATTTATAAAGTTTGTCTGAGAGTTCAGAGAAAAAGGGGGCAAAAGAGTTGAAGTTACACCCTGCAAAGCTCAGTGAGTAGAGCTCTGACAGCTGATTAGAGGGAACGGACACCCCCCCCTCCTCACAGCTCACAGGAATAGAGCTGAGGCTGTAAATCTGCTGGAGATCCCTCCCCTGTCACCATTTTTCTCCTGGTGTCAGAGGTGACTCATGCTGATAGCAGAGGAATGAAGCAGCAGACAGAAATTACACGTAGGGCTCTTAATTGAGACAAGTACACACTATAGAGGGATATGCTTTGTTCATATTTCATGTCTGAGGTTTACAACCACTTTAAATAAAAAGGTCTTTTTTGTAAATAAGGGTTTAAAACTATAAACGTTTCATACCATGGTTAACCACAAGAGCTAGTCAAAAGTCATATTATTTATAAATAGCTTGTGACCCTGTCACCAGCCCATTCATTTCACCAACAATCTTCCCATAAGATTATATGTGAATTTAAAGTGCTACTAAACCCACAACAGTAATATCAGTCTGTATATACAGTAAAGCGTGCTTGTTATACTCACTGTGGAACCTAAGGGGTTAATCCTCTGCATTGTGTAAAAAGGCTGTTTGATCCTGACTTCTCTGCCCTTCCTCTTGTTGAAGTGACCACCTGATACAGACTGAATCCGTAGTCAGAGGCACATGCTCAGTTTGGTGTGTATTGTTAGAAAGGGTTTTTTTTTTCTTGGGACAGTGCATGTGATCAGCATAGGGCCAATCAGCACTGTCCAGACAGAGGGTCAGGGGTTTCACATCATCCTAGAGCAGAAAGAAAACTCCTCTTACAAGCTTTACCCAGTGCTCTGCTGAAGTCACAAGACTGCTCTAACTGCTGATGAGAAAAGGTATTTAGCAGTTTATATTTACTAAAATAATTGCATTTCCATGTTCTGTGTACTGTGGGAGACCAGATATAGTGAATGCAGGGTCCTGGGTTTAGTAACACTTTAACATATTTTTTGCAAGTTATTAATCTGTAAATGCCGCCTTTGTGTAGACATCCAAAAGACCTGAGACTGCTTCTGGGTGCCGCTATCTTGGAGGTGTAGTCAGCAGCCCCAGCACACAAATGACACTTTATAATATTCCCTTTCACTCCTCTGCCATGAGACACATAAAAGGTTATGTAGAGAGATGGTGGGAGGGGTGGAGGAGCTTGGCCAGCACAAAGATTTATTAGACACTCCCAGGTATGAAGCAGGCTATGATGTGCAAGGAGGGAGGGACTGTGATTTTTCTGTGCTTTGACCTGCAATTTTTTAATTTTGAGGAGTGATCAATGAGTTTCAAGGCTGGTGAGTAGATGTGCACGCTCAAAATGTTCATTTCGTTTTCGGATGCATTTGTTCGTTGAAGAGTTCTGTTTCGTCATATTCATTATGTTGAACCGATCTGTTTTCGGAATTCTTTTCGTTTCATATACTCATTGGTCTGGGAGGATTTGAACAGTTTTTTGCATTTTTTCAAGAAGATTGCTATATATTTGATAGATTATCGTATAAGAAGGATTAGATATTTTTGGTCACTAGTCCAACCCACCAAGAGAAATAGTAAGACCTGACTGGACAATATGAACTGGCATCATATGCATCCGAAATAATGAATGGAGCAAAATTTGGAATTATTCGTTATCCAAATCATCCAATAAATTTGAAAATTGAATCATATTTCCCATGGGTCCAAAGTGTCGTCATCTGAATGATATGAATGCATTTATTAATTTCATTAGATTTTTTTTTCAGATTCATCGTAACAAAACAAAACGCACATGTCTAGTGGTGAGAAACATTTGGTGATGAACCTTTATACCTGGGTGTTTTGAGTTGACAGTCAAACCCCCTCTTCACTGAAAGATCTTCATTACTGGAAGTAGAAAACCTTTTCAACAGGGCCGGATTTAGCCTGTCTGATGTGGGAGTGCAATAAAAAATGTCTGGGGGACAGAGAATGGGAGGTCATCAGGGCAGTGTACAGGGGTCATCAGGGCAGTGTACAGGGGTCATCATCAGGGCAGTACAGGGGTCATCAGGGCAGTGTACAGGGGTCATCAGGGCAGTGTACAGGGGTCAGCAGGACAGTGTACAGGGGTCAGCAGGACAGTGTACAGGGGTCAGCAGGGCAGTGTACAGGGGTCAGCAGGGCAGTGTACAGGGGTCAGCAGGGCAGTGTACATGGGTCATCAGGGCAGTGTACAGGGGTCATCAGGGCAGTGCACAGGGGTCATCAGGGCAGTGTACAGGGGTCAGCAGGGCACTGTACAGGGGTCAGCAGGGCAGAGCACAGGGGTCAGCAGGGCAGTGTAGAGGGGTCAGCAGGGTAATGTACAGGGGTCATCATGGCAGTGTACAGGGGTCTGCAGGGCAGAGCACAGGGGTCAGCAGAGCTGAGGACAGGGTTCAGAAGGACAGAGGACAGGGGTCACAACTGGCAGGACAAAGGACAGTGGTCACAACTGACAGGGCAGAGGATAGGGGTCACAACTGATAGGGCAGAGGACGAGTCACAACTGGCAGGGCATAGTACAGGAGCAGGGGTGGACTGACAACTCATGGGGCCCCCGGGCAATAGGGGATCATGGGGCCCCTATGTCCTTGCCCAAACTCAAAAAAGCCTATGAAAAAGGTACCAGGTGCATATCATGGGGCCCCCTACTGACCCTGGGCCCTCGGGCAGTGCCTGAGTTTCCAAATGGTCAGTCCACCGCTGGACAGGAGTCACTGCTGACAGGGCAGAGGACAGGAGTCACTGCTGACAGGGCAGAGGACAGGGGTCACTGCTGACAGGGCAGAGGACAGGGGTCACTGCTGACAGGGCAGAGGACAGGGGTCACTGCTGGCAGGGCACTCAGCAGAGCTCCTTCTCCCATCCCTGCACTGCAGATAGTCTGGGCACACGCAGCAGAGCTCCTCTTTTCAACACAGATAGCTTTGGCTTTGGGGGGGCACAACTAAAATCTGGGGGGCATAGCCCACCCCGACACCCCCTAAATCCGGCCATGGTTTTCAATAGAATATTCATCGATGGTCAGTTACAGGAATTTGATGTATATTTATTATGGCACATGAACTGGTATCACCTGACACTGAGCCACTGAAGGGAAGACATTAGTTCACAACAATAGAGGCAGTTTAGATGTTTGATGCGAGGAAATTCCAGGCAGCAATGACCAATATATAGAGGAAGTGCAACAGGAAGAGGAAAGGAGCACCACTCTTTGAATAGATCTGTAATAATAAGCAAGGGCTGGCTAGGCATCGTATTTATCCATTCTTTAGTTGTAAAAACACCAACTAATACCTGGCAGAATTAATTTTATTTCCATGAATTAATATCCTTTGTTCTAAATTGTGTGAGTCATCAGCCAAAGCTCTGTGTATTTGTTTTTTTCCCCAATTATGTTGGAAAAATATTTTTAAGCAAAATTAGGCATATGACCTAGAAATGTTGTTGTTTTTGCTTTCCTGTCAGAACCTAATCATCTGTTACAGGGGTCCTTTCTGAGTACCATACTTTCACGTATGTAAACTCTAATGAACATTTCTTAATTGCTCCATTTTGGTCTGTTAAAGTGTTATTAAACCCCAAACCAAACATGTAATATAATGCAGATAACCAATCATTGGATTTGGTGGCTGCATTAGTTTTATTTTTTAATATTTTCCCCCCCTCTGTGTTCACCTGGTGATCTGAACAGTAATAGACCTTCTGTATTGTCTCCACTCTGGATGAAGGAACACAGGGGCACAGCAGACAGCAGCATTGTTAGTCTGGGGGGAGGGGGGTATTAGATGTGTGGAGAGGTGCAGCGGCAGTAAAGACACACAGTCCAGTTGCAATACACAGACATACCTCGGTTTACGAACGCCTCTGTTAATGTAATTTTCAGTTTACAAATGAAAATCCATTGAAAATAATGGCTCGGTTTACAAAATTTTTTAGCAATGCGAACGGATTAATTGGTTTTCATTGCATTTACAAATATTTTTTTATTCATGTCCTTGTACAGTACTATGCCTTTAAAGTGCACTTTATAAAGAGTTTTGAACAGATAAGACTTTTGTTGACTTTTTTCTGACCTCTGGAATGGATTAATTGGTTTTCATTGCATGACTATTGCACCAGAGATAGGCTTGTCCACTCCCCATTACCACCATGACCGTTCCGTACAAAACCCCCCCCTTTCCCCTTAACCAATTATACTTACAAAAAACATGACACCAATTTTGGAGTAAATGGCCAACATGGCCTTTTATTAACAACACAATTTAAATACACCAACCATTCCTTATAACAGAAACCCAAAGAATTGTTGTTGGTCTTCGAAGGCACCCCCAAACAATCCGAAATGCACCTGCGGACAACCATATACACTAGGCCTCCAGCCGCAACCAACCAGCTCGGAGACAACCATACCATCCGCAGTGCAGCACCACCACCTTCCAGTTAAACCTTGGTTAACTGGGAATGTCCCCGGGCATCCCATACCACCGATGGGTCCCACACCATTGTTTTTACCTTCCAAGATAAGAACCGCCTCCAAAGACTAACAACCGCCCAGGAACCAATATAACCCCCCTTTACCTGGAGGGACCCAATACTCACCAAAAACAGGGAGGGCGGGAGGGAAGCTCTCACTCCTGAAGTCCAGCTCAAACTGACGCCCCCTCACTGAAACCCCCCACCCTAAGGTGCAGGAAACCCCACCTACTCTCAACCTTCCACCAACCAAATACCCCCACTAACAAAAACAAACCCCTTGGATCTGCCTTAACCCTTTCTGTTCCTCCTTCCCCACTCTGGGCCTAGTCATGTATTCCCTGTGCCATTTCTTCTTTCTTTTTTGCTACGGGCATTTCTTTTACATTTTTCTTTTTAATCATGTCCCTTTATGCCTTTAAAGTGCACTTTATAAAGAGTTTTGAACAGATAAAACTTTTTTTTACTTTTTTCTGACCTCCGGAACGTATTAATTGGTTTTCAATGCATTCCTATGGGAACTATGTAGGTTTACAAATTTTTTGCAATACGAAAAGTCCCGCATAACGAATTAAATTCATAAACTGAGTTACGCCTGTAACCTGGAACTTGTATTGAAGAGAATGCCAGATACAAACATCCCAGTGGGAGATGGCCGCTGTAGGGAAACATTCACAGTTCAGTTCAAAGGCAGGAATGCAGCGAGGAGAGATGCACACGCAGCGCCTATTTCAGAGGGTGCAGTGTAGTCTGGCCGGTCCGGTCCCAAAGGGGAGACTTCCTTGTCTTCCTAGCATATCCCTAGCCTGTCCCTCCTCGTCAGGAATCTTTCCCTGCCATTAGTCACTTTCCCTGTCAGACGGGGTCTCGCTCTCTCTACTCTACCCACTTTGCAAAAGCGCACCAAAACCTAGAGCAAGGACTTCTAAAGACTCTGCTGACCCAAGATGGCCGCCAGGGGTCATATGGATGCAGCATAGTCAACCAACACACTGCTCCATGACTCAGGAAACCACAGAGAAGCCAGGTTTCCCGACTTCCTCTTCAAGCTGTGATAGCACTTTTCTCAGCACCACCTACCTACAAATGTACTAGCAGATTTAAGTGCATTAACAAACTGAAGCTAAACTCTAGTTAACACTTTATAACTATTTACATCAAGAGTTCTTTTCATTTTCAGATAAAAGATTTACACAAAATAAATAAAAGCTGATCATTGTAAGCACCTCTGCTAGTGGTAAATGGTTTGTCTCATCCTTCTATCCCTCTAACTGCTGCCTCTGCACGAGATTCTTATTCTTTTGAAAAACAACAGACTTACCTACTGAATCTCCAGGTAAAAATAAAGGAAAGAAAACGAAAGCAGCCACCATTGGATGGACTTTTGTATTTGGAAGGACTTTTGTCTTTTTTCAGCCAGACTAACTATGTAACTACTGTATGTAACCACATCTTAGAAATGGTAAGTTGCAATATAATAAATGTTTTGGTTTAATACTACTTTCAATATGCCTGCAACAATACTTGTTTATGCTGCCAGAAATCTATTGCTGTCCTGTGTACTTTGCTCTGTTATCCCAAACAGCATTATCAGAAAGTGTATTAGGACTACATAACACCTATCCCTGCATTTGGAAGAGGCAGTGAAGGGGAGGTTTTTTGTAGTCCTAATACACTTCCTGCCTAAAACTGACCAATAGATGGATCACAGGTTTCCAGCAGGGACTGGCCAAATTTCAATCCATCTATGGCTGTTTCCATTCATGAAAAGTTGACTTAATGATCAACTTTTCATGATTAGGCTTGTTGGAAACTTTTTGTTCTATCAGAGCTGCAGCCAATCGGCAGAAGCACTGATCAGTGTATTCTAACAGCAGAGGATTCCTTCATTCACCTCAGTTGTGTGGATGGAGGAATCCATAGTTTTTTTTTTTTGATCAGCCCGCTGATCACAAAAAAAAAAAACTGAACCTTGTAAGGCGAACAAACTGCACTTCTCTGATCTACAGAAGTAGTACAGCCAAACGAGCATTGTGTACTTCTCCTTTAAAATCAATCCCCAGGTCATTTTGACAGCAAAGCTCTGAAACTTCTGTGATGATTATGACTTGAATTAAAAAGGTGTTTGTTGAAAGTAACAAGAAGTACATTGAGCCAACGTGTTTCAGGGGAAAGGAATGACACTTCGTCAGGGCTGTTGCTGCATGCTAATAAATGGGAAAAAGTTCCTATATATTTGGGAGGTATCAGAGAAAAGACTGACAGAGTGACAGCTGTTGTCCATTCCCCCAAAGTTGGAATCCCTTTCCCCGAAACATGTTGGCTCGATGTACTTGTCGCTACTTTTAATAAACACCTTTTCATCTATCTTGTGATTCTCACTCTTTAGGACACTGAGTGCTCCTTCCTTTTTACTTTTCCAAGTCTACGCATGGAAACAACCATAAGGCCGTACCAAAAAGGTAACAGCCCAAACCCGAAGAGGTTTCATTGCCATTATTTAACATTAGGCACAACCTGCGGAAGGAACTCCTTCCTACCTTGCCAACACAACCCACCCACCCATGACCAGCAACTGATCCAGTCAGTCCAGTGTGGTCTCCTGCACAAATGTAATAATGCAGAAACTTGCTTGGACCACTTCCTGTGCATTCCTATTGGCCAGTAAAGCAGCCCATCATAGTCATGGGCCAATAGCAGTGTGTATGGGGGGCGGCAAGGTAGCAGCAAGCTCCATCACTAACCAAAGTGTCTGAGCATTGCCTTCTAAAGTGGCTCAGTATTTAGCTCTATCTGCAGGGTTTTAGAGGTTGTTGCAGGTACGTTCTGACACCTCTAGCTCTCCGCACTCTGTCTTTGCAGCATTTTTTTTCTAGCCAATTATTCAGTACAAAAAAAATGTTTAGGGTTTCTGGAAATATTTGGTTGTGGAATGCCGTAGATTGGAATGTGTCCTTATGCAGGTCATGTACCTGTGGCAGCTGGAATGTAATAACCAGCAGGGAAATGATTATC